AATTACATTTCCCGGTCTTCCATTAGAACATCGGTTTCCAGAAACAGAAATAATGAAAGGAATTGCAGGTATTAAAGGAAAAGTTCTTTGTCATGCATTATCAAAACACTCAGCATTTTGTGAAAGAGAGGTCCATATTGTTCCAGCTTCTAAAAATCATGGACGACACCCTTGACACTGTTCCGCACAGAAGGCTAATCAACAAACTGAAATCATATGGATTGTCAGCAGAAATAGTAAACTGTGTAAAAGACTTTTTGACTAAAAGACGACAGAAAGGTGGTGTCCATGGTCTAACCTCAGAACGGAACAAAGTCACAAGCAGAGGACTATAAGGCAGTGTTACTGTGACCATCATTGTTTGATCTGTACTTAAATGACCTACCAAATGTCGTTGATTCGAATGCCCTACTGTTTGCCGATGATACTAAATTGTATAAAGACACCAGGGTAAACAGAGATCTTCAGTCGGACCTATAGAATTTACATCAATGGTCAGACAAATGGTTGCTAAAATTCCATCCGGACAAATGCAAAACTATGTATATTTTGAAAGAAGAAAAGTTTTAACAATCTGTATTTATACAAATCATAAACGAAATCGTTAACGAAACAACCGAATACCAGAAGAACATATACATACTTAGATAAAACATCATTCTGTCTACTGTATAAGGCTTAGTTCGATCCCATCTAGAGTATGGAGTGTGTGTATGGAAACCATACAAACAACAAGATATTGAACTACTAGAAAGTGTCCAACGGAGGGCTACTACTGCCAAGAATGAAGGATTTTGATACGAGGTAAGGTTGCGTCGTCTTTAACTCCCGTCATTACGCTATGCTATAAATGTTACAGGGGAGACAAGGTACAAGTGATACGACAGCACCACAGGAAATCTTGGCAATAAAACAAGATAAAAGGACTCGAGGACATTCACTGAGCCTGGATAAATCATGGAGCAGAATGGACGTTAGGAATTACTTATTAACTCATCGAATTGTTAGCAATTGGAATTCTCTACCTGAGAGCGTGATTCCAGCACCAATTCTAACAATTTTTGAAAACCGCCTTGATAAATTGTAGAGAAGTGATGAAAGGAGATCCACAACAACATCGGAGTGACGTCACATCAAAGACAATTTTATATGTTATAATTGATCCATATCAACGTATATAATAATTGGTGGAGAATCCTGTTATTACAAATGCTGAATACATTACCAGATCCTAAGCAATGACTACAAAACGTGCAAACGCTAATTACTGCCTATGTCTAATGAGATCTCTCCACTTTAAGAGGATAAATATGTTTGAAATTAATTTTGTACCTTGAACTTCCCAACTGAAGGTGTGACCTTAAGCCTGAACTATGTATTAGGAAGAAAACCTTTAATAAAGCCGACCAAATAGCCAATTTGCTCTGACACCTCGAAAGAGTTTGGAGCTCATGGCACTGAATCAAAAGTTTTGTCGGGACTCACGTTGGATAGATTAAAAAGTCCAGTACCTAAGGACAATTCTGTTATCACAACCATGGACGGCCTCGCAATGTAAGATATAGGAGGTACAAACTCACTTTTGTAATTTCCTGTCCATTCTGTTCACGTTGCTTCCAGACGGATGTCTATAATAGAAAGTGGTCGAAATATCAATTAGGCCCTTTTCATGTTGTCTCCATATCATCCATCATGCATGTTCTGTCTTGTGTAATAACAAGAAAGAAATCTTTTCCGGTTGTTTTAATTGTTTCCCCAGTTTTATGAATCTTTCCGAAGATCAATAATCTTTCAAAATATCTCTGGAGTGAGCACCTATCCGTACGCTGGTCATTTTTACTCTTCCTAATGTTTGAATGAATTAAAGTTTAAGAAATCTAGATGCGTTTGAGGAACTTTAGATTACGCTGTTGCTAGAGAATACCGCAAGAATTTGTAATGGAATGGCACGTGTAAAAAGGGAGGTAACAGAAACACTGGAAAGCGATTTGCTGTCTGCTTTCAAGCTTACATTTTTTATACCAATGTATTTGCGAAAAGTTTATAAAGTACAGAAGTCACATTATTAAAATCAGTACTTCGTTTGGAAAAACGATAAAGACTACTTCTTCCTTAGATATATCTGATAATGTCTTGAATTTACGGCTGTTGACACGAGAACCTTGAATTTTCAAAAAGACCTTGTTTGTCCACGAAAAAAAAACAAAATATGATAAAGGATTGTGATGGAGATAAAATAGTTACTGGTGTTTTGTTGTTGTTCAGTTTAAACTTTATTTTAGTATCGGTATAATATTACAGTAATGCAAACACCATATACATAGATATAGGATTCGAAAAAAAGTACAAAGTACTTATGTTAATCCGTCTCCTTCGTTTGTAAAACGGCAATTGGACGGCACTGACGAATATTATGCAAATAGATATAAGTATATGGAGAATTGTTGGGGGTAAAAGATATAGGGGAGTACATTACATTTAATGCATTATGGGAGGAAAAAACTGATTGGAGTATATTTTGGATATGGACACATGTCGAGGACTGTACACGTCACTGAGGTATTCAACACACAATAAATGAATTACGTATAATGAAAACTTACCATTCTGACCCCTGAGTATTCCGACATCCAGTGGTGAACAGTAACGTGGTGTAATTAAAAGTATCACCAAACAAGACTATGATGGTTTATATATATATATATATCCATACTGACAGGGGCCGTCCCAGTTGAGTCCTAGTATATACCACATGTAAACATACGTGGAATCAAAATTGAGATCTTCAAACTTAAAGTCGTTTCGACTGGTTAATGAAATGTTGGACACATCCATAGGTCAATAGAAGAGGGTAAGAAAGAATCCTTGTGAAGCTAGGTTCTACAGTGTATTTGGCAGTAAGTATTTGCGTGTCTAGTATTGTAAATGTGCAAGTCAGAATGACGAGCAGGAAGTATGTTAGTTAGATAGGAGGGGCACTGACCATGGACAATCTTATGGAATTGTATGATTTTATGTTTCCTACAGAATGAGGATCCCAGCCAGATTCTCAATAAATTCGGTCATGACTAGTTAGTTAAGGGGCCCAGGTAACCATTTTGGCTGCTTCAAGCTGTATATTTTCTTATAATTGACTTTGTCCAATCGGTATATTGGCACGTATTACATCACCATATTCTAAAAGGGGTCTTAGAAAAGTAAAATATATTTTTTGTAAAGTCATTCTGTCAATATTGAATTTGAATTGTTACTGTGGTTTACATGTAGCGATGATGAGGTCAAATGAGGATTTTTTTTTGTGATAGCTTAACATTTATGTAATAAATATATCTAGTACATGACGTTTCTACTCCAAAACCAATGGTAAATGTTAATTGAAATATCTATACTCATTCGTAACATACTTTGCCATTTTTTTTATATATGAAGTGTGTTCTCAAAATAAACTTGATACACATGAATACTTATTTATGAACTATATTCTAATTAATTTCTCCATATCCAACTGTTATTAATTTTACAAGATATGGATATTGAGTCAAACTCTGGCCTGTGGTCTGAAGAGCTTTCCTTTTTTATCATTTAAATATTAGGAGTGTATTTGAATACTAGTATATATAGAAAACGTTTTAGATGAACACGATGTTTTGGTTACAGTTTTGATGCTGAGGTCCCTACATATGAACTGAGAAATAATGGTTTCCATTCTCATTTAAGAGTTTAAAGAAGTTTTGCAGGAGGCTGTGTTTTGTTGTACGTTAATGATGCAGAGAAAATAAGTATGCTGAATTGTTATGAATTTCCTGACAACAAAGTAATATTGATACGTATACAAGAAAGGCCAGTAATATGCTTTCTGTATAACGACGATAATTAATTTACATGTTTTTAAAACATGTGTGGATCTATCCAGAAATGTTATCTGGGTGGTGACTTAAATGTTGATGAGATAATCAAGTCACACAATCATTTTTACAGATACGTATTGACATACAAGATCGAGTTTGCTAGGTCCAATTTTATAGTGAGATTATCTGTCCTGCGTAGACTACTCGGTTCTATAGTGAGATTCTCTGTTCTGCGTAGACTACTCGGTTCTATAGCGAGATTCTCTGTCCTGCTTAGACTACTCGGTTCTATAGTGAAATTCTCTGTTTTGCGTAGACTCCTCGGTTCTATAGTGAGATTCTCTGTCCTGCTTAGACTACTCGGTTCTATAGTGAGATTCTCTGTCCTGCTTAGACTACTCGGTTATATAGTGAGATTCTCTGTTTTGCGTAGACTACTCGGTTCTATAGTGACAAATACTATACGGATGCGTTGCTGATGTCACTGTCCTTTTTAACATAAAACCTGTCTACAAAGAAAAAGTATGATTATATAAAATAAATAAGATTGCATATATTTATAAATATTAGGTTAAGTTGGCTGTCGAAATGACAAACCAGTGTTAAATACCGAACACCGTTTGAGTCACGGACGACAACTCTTCTTTGCTTAGCGTATTCCAACATTAAAAATAAGAATAAACAATAAAACCATATAAAATTTAGTGGCGGGCATGGTACTGCCTTCATAAAGAAACTATTGTTGTTGAATACGAAAAAAACCCAGTCTTTCAAAATTAAGGTTGGTCTAGGATAAACGTGTGAAAATACAGGAAAAAAGGACACCGAAACAAAAACGACCAAAACGACTCGTTCCAGAGCGGGCTTGGTAAATAGGCGTATAATAGTATATATGAGTAAAGCAAGAACGATGCTAAAATGGAGAACTAACAATAATAATACAACATTATAATAATATACAACATATATATAGCGCCCTATATAATTTGTAAAATTACTCTACCGCGCTTTACAACATATGGATAATAGTAATGGTTATAATTGTGAAGACAAACAATATAGAAAATAGACGTGAAGAAAAAGCGTTATTATTCTAATTCACTACGTTCAACCGAACATAAAGCATTTATCATATAAAACTCAACACCTATGTATGGGAGTGGCCTTCGACGGTCAATCATTTTATTACAGGAAAAATGTATACATGAAATACAAGGGCACGTGCCCGATCTTTCTTCCATTCTCCCTTCTCCATCCCTCCTGAATCCGGATCCTGGCCCGACTCTAGGAATTCTCTTCCCGGCATCATCCCTGAAGTCCATGCCTGTCTCAAGGAAAACAGGGAAATTTCATAATTGCATGATTTAACAAAAGAAAATATAATGTCTTGAAGTGAGTTGATGAACCGTCAAGACTCGAATGACCATGTTACCCTCAAACCACCTTTAATACTCTATAGACACCCGTGTCGCACCTGTAACTCGTGCAGTTACACGTTACCCGTGCCGCCTCACGCGGCTATAGCTACCTAGGAGGAGGAGGAGGATGATGATGATTGAGGTAATGGCATCACAATGTTGGTGAGTGAGTGGACGTTTATGTTGTTGTTGTTTTATATATCAATAAAACTTGTGAAAAAATAAAAAAAAAAATAAAAATAAAAATAAAAATACATTTATGATTCTAATTCACTACGTTCAACCGAACATAAAGCATTTAACATAAAAAAACTCAACACCTATGTATGGGAGTGGCCTTCGACGGTAAATCATTTTCGAAACATAAAGATGAGAGTGAGCTTTTATTAATATATATTACCTGTTATATTCCAAGGCTCTGGCTGACAGTGGCTCTTTCGAGAATGTCATCCTTTACATACCCATCCTTTGCCTTGTCCGTCCGCCAACGTCCGTGTTTTTTGAAGAGTCGGTCCGACACTCCGGCTTTCGCTGCCGCCGTCGCACCTCCTGCCCTGAGACTATATATGTAATCCATATTTTTTAGAGTCCAATCCTAGTTTCCCGAACATTTCTAACACTACTTCCCAGGCCCTGGTGTACGAAAGAGGTGTACTACCTCTCAATTTGAATACATTATTTGATTTACAAAATGTCAGGCTCCGAAATATGAAATCCTCAGAAATATCGATAATCCCTGCCTTTACAAAATCTCTCTTCAAGATACCCACTGGACAAGTAAATTTTATTCGTTTTTGCGACTATGACATCCGCTCCTTCCCTATACAAATCCGTCTTTCCCTCTCGAACGCGAATCTTCGTATATGTATCACAAAAATCTACATCGGACCTCCGTACTTTACTTATCTCACTATATCTAAGAAACCCTGCAAATCCTATAACACAAATACTGACAGTACGTAAGTCTGCCAACTAGCTTTCGGCCCTCCGAACTCGTTTACCAAAGACGCTAATACCTCCGGCCGTCACAGGCTCCTTCTTAACGGTACGACTCCCTATAATTCTATGCGATCCTTCCTGTACGTTTTTAACCAACGTAGATTTACACGGATTAATATACCCCGAAATATCGTGTACCCAACCTATAGAGTAAACAGCCTCGTCTATGATCGACACAGAACACTGTTTTTTCAACAGCGAATTCAGATACAATGCCACATACGAATCATCTGCTGGTAACGGACAAATGCTGTATATTTTACACCAATTACAAAACTTGTTAAAACCCGAGCTGTATTTCGTGTACATTTTAATTTTCTAAATTATAATTCGTGTTTATAATGGCTCCTTGAGCCCCAATTTACAATTCGTCTCATATTCGCTTCATCAGGGGAAGCCAATCCATCAAGGGGAGCTAACACATAGTGTTCTGTCCTTAAGGTGGACCGATACCGCTTCATCAGGGGAAGCCACTCCATCAAGGGGAGCTAACACATAGTGTTCTGTCCTTAAAGTGGACCGATACCGCTTCATCAGGGGAAGCCACTCCATCAAGGGGAGC